AGCTTTTTCGTTTCTTTATAGTTACCTCATAAATTACTCAATATATGTGCATTTCTTTAGCGTATATTCCAGTTCTTACAAGAAAATATAATCATAATAATTTTCGACAATCTTGGAACAAAATTACTTTGCAAAAAAAAGTAGCAGTGACCAAATATCCATTTTCCATCTGTTACTCATAAAACAAGATAATGAACTAATGATATCACTTTATTCCACATTTCTTGAGTGCTCCAGCTTCAACGAATTCGAACTTTTCTCATGACATCCCTGCTTATATCTGAGTCTATGGGAGCCCTCACTTTTAAAATTTAGATTGAATTGAATTTTTGACCTTCTCTTTCTTTATTACTTCTTTTTACAACCCTGAATACTGCCACAAATTTACACAAATCTTTTACCTGACTGCTTCAGAATAAGAATAACATACAGTGACAACTAGCACGTGATATAAAATGTCCAATGAAACTAAAATCATTCATTGTTACACTAACAGTGAATACCTCGCTATTCATTTCTTTTACACTTATCAAGTCATGGATTGACTGAGTTTGCTTGCATAAAATATCGTCTTTATATGTGCAAGTACGAAAAGTGATCAAGATAATTGTTTGCGTTCTGATTCAATGTACGATATAGTTGGTAAAATCCATGTCAACAGTTCACCTACTTACAAAATACACTACCATTAATCTTGAGTGAGATACAATTCTAGCAAGTTCGTGTGCCCAACACTGTTCCTGCCTGTGTCCATCTCAGTATTTGAAAACCGTCCCTTTAAATTCTGGACAGCAAATACGAGCAACAAATACAAAAGAACCTTCTAAAAGTCCACAACGGGTATCTTTGTGTTTCGAATCACTTTTGAATTTTCAATCAGCATTACTAGTTGTTCTGTACCCTTCAAAAAATTGAACTACAGCACACCTACTCCATCGTCAGAACAAATTATTAGCTTCAATCTACAATTTGGAAGCCAATCATTTTTTTAATCTGCACTTTCTTGTTCAAAATAATACAGCCCTAGGCAGATTCTACGATCCGATAAATTTTTTGGAAAAAAACAAAAAAACGAGAACAACCATTAATTACTATGGCGACAACGATAACTTTCATACTTGCTCAGTACAAAATTTATGTGATCATTTCTTGCAGATCAGTGCCAAATCAGAAAAACTAGCTTATCGAGACTACTACTACAAAGACTATTCATTGCACTGGTAAGATCGAAAACCGATAAACTGTAATTGATTTTCATTGATAACAACAAATACTTAATCTATTCAACTGTTTCAGTTCAGTATGACAGAGATTTGTATCACTAACATGTGGACATTTGTATTCTCTAAAATATCAATTACAATTGATTTTATGCTTGCATTTAGCTGAAAATTTTGATCAACACACCACGATACAATTAAGATTAAAAATGATCAACAAAGACTGTTAAACTATACTCTTCTATCCATCGTATCTTGTTCATATATTTCCTACAATGCACACCAAATCATAGTTTTATTATGGTATATATCATTTACCTGAATTTTTTTTCACTTAAAAGGATATTCTACTTCATAATTTGTTTTGACCAATAAAATATTCCCACGATCACATTAATAATCCATATTTGGCAAATAAAGAGATAAAGTTACTTAACTAAGAAATAAAGAGATATTTCACTTGAGAATAGTTTTGTTTATACACTAAGATGAAATAAGATGACCATTTATCAATTTAGAATTATCCGAGAACTCACCATTTGCAGAAATATCGTTTATAAGACGTGAACGATGCACTGCTGAGGTACTACACGACCGTCGCTTTGATGACAAATCATAGCTATCAATTATAGTTAAACATTTATATCGAAACAGTACAGACCTGAAGTTAACGCTCTACCACTTTTTATACATCAAACCTTTACAATTACAAACTTTATACATTAATCAGCCATTTTTTTAATATTTTGTAAAATTTAGATGATAGCACTAGCTCTTACACCTGTGAGCAACAAAAAACATCCATGAAAAATAAACTTTCCCAGCACAACTACTCAAACTAATATTATTCACTACGAGAAGTGATGTCGAGTACAGTTCATATTTTTATCCTGACGGAACTACGTAAGAAAATAAAATTAAGCTAAGAAAACTCATGACATGCCGAAATCTGCACTGTCATAACAACAACACCTCTTAAAAGGCCGATTTCAATTCTCATTTAATCATCACTTCTGAATTCAAGCCTGTTTTATGCACATTTTCAGAAAAGAAAAAACGAATTTATCTTCAGTACTGAATATTATAAGTGCGCACAATATCAAAATCGAGCAAAAAAATAGAGAAATAAGAATAAACTACTAAAAATAAAATAGATATATGACAGACATGGCGATCCTTCTGATGATAACGAAATCTGTTCATAACTACTAAATAACGACTTCATCCTATGCAATCTGGATGTTCAAGACTATTTATTGTCTCAATAAGTCGAAGTCTATCGTACTTAACAGAACTGTAAAAGTAAGAAGTTTGCACTAAAACACCAAAGCAAATAAATGTACAACATTAAAACATTTGGATATTGTACATAATGCATTAGACATTAAAATCACGAGCAATATAGTTCTTCAAGACCGCAAGAAAGTTTTGCTGAATAATCAAAAGCAAAACCATTTTCAATGTTTTAACCCAATGAATGAGTTTCTAATTATAATAGCTCTCAATTTCATTCCCGAAATACAACAATTTTTTCTGCTGAAATTGCGCTACTTCTTTTACTCGTATAATATCCGTTTGAGATCACAAAATTTTCACATGTCTACAGATTTCAATTTTCAGCAATTTTCATTTTCGTAAAAAGCAATCAAAACTTTTTATCAAATAAAAAAAAATAGAAACAGCAAGCAAACAGAAGCAAAACGAAAAACATTCTCAAATTCTCAAATTGAGATGCAAGCACATAATTTCGTTCAGAAAAATGAAAATATCTTCAATAGTACAGAACTTGAATTGGAACTTAACTGTCTTGCTGTGCTCCTAATATTGGAACGGTACTCGAATTCTTACCAGGTTTGCTTCCAGGACAATCTTTGGCCAGAAGTATTGCAGATTCTCCGGCGTATCCACTACAATTAACAAACACAGGTGCAGTGCAATTTCAACATATTTTCAACAGACATTTAAAAATCAAAATACATTAAACTAGGCCAAAATTTTGCTTGCTATTAATATAAAAACACATTTTAGTTTTTAAAAAAAGGCACAAAATTTCTCAAAAAACATTTTTTTATAGAACCCATGCAGACAATAAAAAAGTACAAAGACGATTTTTCGTACCTTCATTCCAAATGATAAATAACTGAATGAGCTCTAAATCAAAAGTGTATAAAAACTATTTTGATGCAACAAACAGTATTGATAAATATTTAAACGGTAGACTAGTGATACTAAAACTTTTAAAGTTGAAAAATATAGTTATAATGGAGAAAGCTACACTAATCTTTATATCAAGTTAAAGCTTCATTGAATAGAAGATTAAGGATTTGAAATTATGTCCATAAGAATTAACTCATTTTAAATTAAGACTCTAGGACAATTACGCATGTCAATAAGACAAAAACTCAAAACATCTATAATTTATTAAAAACAATTACCCAGAAATTTCTTTTTGCAAATCAGCCATTTGCTCATATGCGAAACCATAAAATGATCTCTGAGATTCGATAAAATCGTATAAACACTTCAAATGATAAGTCTAAAATTAAAAAGAACCTTAATTTGAAATACTCTTCAAATCTAAAATTGAATATCACTTTGAGCATCAAGTAATATATTATGGTACTCATCAAATCTTTAGAAATTGTGAAAACCTGCTATAGAAATCTTAGTCTAGTTACACACTGAAATTTCAACAATTTGCTAGCAATACAAATATTTACATGGGCAGCCTTAATGCCTTCAAGCAATAACTTTGTGATCTCTGCTTGTTTATCAAATTCTGCTTGAGCCACGCGTAAATCAGCTTCTGCCTAAAGAAAATTAATCTTCCATTAAGAGTAACATCAGCACTGCATTAATTCCATGAAAAAAGGTTTCATATACTAACAACCAGAACATGATTCCCAGAAATTTCATAACGTGCACATCTTGAGCTTGTTTCGTGTACATGGCTCTAAATTTGTACACAATGATTTTCTAAAAAAACAAGCTACAGAATTGACATGAACTTTCCCTATACAAAATATAGAGAAAGCTCATACCAAATCTTTTCAATTTCATGCAAGTATTTTGGATTCTAAAATGTAAACTTGTGAGCTCTTATGCATTCAATTAAATTTAACAATAAAGAACAAAACACAAGTTATACATGAAAGTAATTAAAATAAGTCAAAGAGCACCAAACTCGTGGAAAATAACACAAAAAAACCGAGAGAATAAGACCTGTTCTGATGAGATGGTATTTCCTGTCTGTTAAAAAAATAATAAGTATAAAATATCATAATACATGATAGGACAGAAATGTAAAATAAGGATTATTAGCAATGCATTTATTTTCGTCAGGAGTTAATTACAAAACGTGTAATAATCTCCCCTGCTGATACGAAATCTTGAAAAAATCACTTATATATAACTGAAAGGAAATT